TACACAATCGTGGAATCAAAGTCAACAGATGACCTTCATGACTCACAGCGTACACTGCAAGGTGTTTCCCATGAGGTTGATAAGGTTGGGATGAGAGTCAGTTCCTCTGATAGCGTTTCTGCAGAAACATTTGGGCGCCTTCAGTGCCTTGTTGAGGAACGGAGCATAAATCCAAGATGGCGGCGCTGGCTTTAATCTGTCCCCTCAATCAGGCAAATTTTTGTGATTGCATGATTGCAGAAATCAACAATTCTACAAATTTTTTCACATAGATTAATTTTTTTTTCTATATTAGACAAAAATTACCAATAACTTTGGGGTAAAGTGATGCTGACTCCCACCTGCAGGTGGCAGCATTTCTTCTACCACGCTAAAGACAAAACATAAATCCTACAACTGACGCCACTCTATCTTTGTTTACATTTTCTGACGGCCAGTGTCTTCAGAGGATTTTGTGTCGTTTTTTTTTCAGTGGTTCTTTCTGCAGCGCCCCCACAGGCCAGGAGGGGAACAAGTTTTCCAAAGGCTTTAGTTTGTTTGACTCACAGCAGCTACAAACATAACAAGTATCACAATCTTAGTCCCTAATCGAACTGAAAATACTGGACTATCAGTGATTATCCTGAAGCTCTGATTGGTGATTAAGTATCAGTTTTAACGCTGAATAAATGTGTTACAGAGATTTAGCGTCTCTGTTACAAATGCTGGTTAAGATTAGTTTTCCAGGCCACTGCAGTCGTGTCAAACTGCATGTCGACCATTGTTTAAAGTCAAACAATACGTCTCAGTGAAGACAGGCGCCGTTTTGTCTTCTGCTGAGGCTCATTTGATCACCAGGAAGACGGAGATGGGTCTTCATGTTGCCAGACAGACACCTGGGGGAACGCCGACCCGGAGCGGGTTCAGCGTTACGGCCCGTCCATGCAGGTCAAAGGTCAGCGGGATGACAAGGAGCGGTGAGCGCTGAGCTCCTTGTGGTCTGGTGTTTTTCTAAGAGAGCCGCGGTGGAGCTGGGGAAGCCTCATCTTAATCTCAGGGGATAGAAATCCAATTTTCAGAGGAGACAGTTGAGAGTCTGGCTCTCCCTGGGTGAGAGCGATGACTGTCTCCCTGCAAAGCCTTTGTGCTTCAAACGCCGGCTCTGTACAGTCGCCGCAGATCTACATCGATAATGACGAACCCCCCACACACAAAAGGCTTTGTTCTCCGAGATAACCTGATCATCACAAGGAGAAAAACCCGGTGCTTATATCAGGATCCGTTCTAATTCACCCCACAGTCACCAAATCCTGTCGTCTGATCCGCGATAAGGCGCGACAGCGCAGGACTGAACATGCAGAAATGCGTGACCAGGAATTTCATGCCGCCGTGACGAAGAGGGGCGGCAACACGAATGACCCGACGGGCGGCGCGGCGTCGAGTTACAGGCCGCGTCGCTGGAGGACAGAAAAACCAAACTCTGATCTCCACGGCAGAAGTGAGAGAGGAAGAGGAGTGTGAGGAATCCGGGAGGGGAGGGCGGAGAGGTGGGAAACGTGGGAATAACAATTATTAGAAAAATAGAAAATGATCTGCTAATGAAGCTAAAACTATGAAAACCTTCTCAGGCTTTAAATCTGTTTCTTTTTGTTTCATCATCTAATTTTGCAAACCATTGATTTCCAGGCTTAACAGCCTTAGTGTTACAATTTCAACAGACGACATGCGCTCCACCTGGAGACTTTATCAACACTGAATTAATCAGCATCATAATGTAAAGCCTGTTACCCAGGAAACCTGTGCAGACAAGTTGCATTTTATTGATACATCCGGAAATTTCACGCACGGTGCACAACGCTGCAGGGCGTCCAGACGACCGTCTTACTTTCTGGAGACGCAGCTCATCTTTTCTAATATATTTTACTCATTTATTTTGTTTATCTTGCTCTACTTTGCTAATGCTATCATCCAGCAAAAACTAGATGATAGTTCAGCTCAATAAAAAGTATTAATTATAAAACCATACTGCAAAATATAGGATACATACAAAACAAATTGAGTCATACACATATAACAGATTTTAATTTTAGTTGCTTAATATTGATTAAAAAGTACAAGCTCCACTGGCAGATTATTTCACTTATAACAAGAAATTTTTTTCTGTTATTTAGACAAAGTATTAAACAATTGAGCTAATACTTTTTCATCAATTTTACAGAAGTATTGACTGAAAACAAGCTCACCGTATCTTGCTGAAAAGTTTGTTTTGTCTCATTTCAAGTGTATAAAGATATTTGCATCAGAAATTAGACCAAAAATACTTGTATTTATGCAATGAACAAATGTTATATATTTATTTGTGGCAGAATTTCCTCCCAGAGCTCATCCTGTATTTTATAGAAGATAGGAAGAATTGACTGACTCGGATCTTCCATACAAAGTGGAGTAAAGTGCGTTTTTACAGGAGATTCCCAAAAAGACAGCCAGGGAATCCTGGAAGAGACTGAGCCTTTAAAAGACAGAGGCAGTTTAGTCGGGTCGGTCGTGTCAGGTTTTGATCCGGAGGAGAAACTCGATCCCTGCTGTGACTGACAGCGCTTCTCTCGTTCATTTCCTTCCCGGCCAATGTTCCTCTCGTGTCGACGTTTAGCCAGGATCTTTGTCTCTCCTCACTCCACGTCTGATAATAAAGTCTTTTGAAATAAGAGCCGAGTCGGTGGAAACCCTGACACAGTTTGCTTCTTGGAGGAATTTACCGCTGGCGAGAATCCAGCAGGAACGAACCGCAGACACGTTTACGAACAGATGCACATACGTGGGAAAGCACAACCGACATACACGCACGTACAAAACGCTAAGATACCCAGACGCTTTAACGGTCGTCTGGCAGTTTGAGACTCTAGTCACTACCCTTAGGTAGTGACTAGTCACATTTACTAGAGTATTGGAGTATTTTTACTACACTCTACTTTTTACTTTTACTTCAGTAATTTTATTATAAAACATTACGATTCTTAAATGACACCTGGAGATGAAGGTATTGTTAATTTAGTCCAGCAAAAGAGAACAAATCTACTAATGATCTGTCAGAGTTGGTGCTTATATCGCTTTTTATATATATTTTAACTGAACACCCAGTTCCACATCACATTAGACTTTAAGTTTGTCATAGTCAAGTTAGCATACCTGAACTACTTTTTTTAGACTAAGACTTTTTCTTGACCTAATGTTGGCAATTAGTAGCAAAGCACTGCATCACTATTTCCTTTCTTTCAGGCTTACATATTAAGATTTTACACTTTATATTGACAACTTAACAGCTAAATCCAATGCTAGTCATCATCAGGTAGCAACTTTCTCCCTACAGCGGGATATGGCTGCAGGACGTCACTCTGCAAAGCGTCTATACAAATTATTTTCCCTTTGGTCTTTAAAGTTCTTTTATATTTTGGTCCATCTGATTGTGTAAGTTCATTTATTACCTAGTACTTGAGTAACTTTTGCCAAATACTTTTTACTTTTACTTGAGTAATTTAACGTTAAAGTAGTGCTACTTTTACTTCAGTACAAACTTAAGCTACTTGCAGAAAATGTTAAGAAGTCATGTTATCGTAACATGTCTGCACTGGCATCGAAAGAGCAGACGGATGATAAGTTCACGGTAAAAACACTGTTGACAAAAGCACAAGCTACTTGGAAATTAATTCAGAAGAAAGGGTTTTAATCTCTGCCTTTCACAATCAGGAAACACAGGAAATGAGATTCTGCAGGTGAGCGTAACGCCGAGCCACACAGCTGCAGAAACGACTGCCCCCGGCCAAATTAGACTTGGAAATATGAGGGTGACATTGACATAAAATATGGAGGCTGAAACACTCACATCAGGGCGAGCGGCGAGCTCCGACAGCGCGATGAAGCTCTTCAGTCGGGTTTCAAAAACATGGATAAGTGTGGAATACCTCTGATGAAGAAACCATCGACCTTGTCAGATTGTCCATTCCTCCTGTTTTTGACTAAAAGTCGGTTTAGTGAGTGAAGAGATCTTATGAGAGAAAAAGGGTTTCCAGCGTTAAGCCCTTCAAATCTGGGGCTTTGTTAAGCTATCACATGTATTTTGGTATTCTGCTACTTTTACATGACATTCTGTAGCATAAAAAGCGAGAAATGTCAAAAACTGAGCCGAGTAGAGTTTAGAAAACTTTCAAAAGCATGTTTTAAATATGCCGACCCCTGACCCTGACCCTAACCCTGACCCTGACGTCAGCATCGCTATGTGATTGCAGAGGCCTAATCTTTTCTTCATAAATTTAGAAAAATCAATCATTTATTCTGATACTTATCACTTTTAAGTTACTAATTATGACTTTTATGCTATTAATTATGACTCATTCTGGTAATTTACTTTTATTCTGGTAATTCTGACTTTTATTTTGGTAATTCTGACTTTTATTGTGATGATTATATAACTTTAAACATCCCAGAACGTTACGTTTGTCCTGATGCAGCTGAACACTGTGAAGCCTTTACCCAATACGGACACATTATTGACAAAAAGAGAAAATAAAAAGTATTTTCTCTTATGCAGACCCAGGTAGCATGTTTGTCAGCATCGTTTTCAAGACAATAAACTTTGTGACAGAGGCAACAAACATTGATGGTTGGGGATTTACGCTGGATAAATATCCCCAATTGAATTTATTTGATGTACGTTTAATTCAAAAATGACTGTTTTAAATACAAACTGGAGTCAAAAGAGGAACAATTAGGATAATGGGTTCAGCTGAGAGGCTGAAAAACCTTCATTTTATAATATTACTCATTGTTCATTATGTCTTTTGTAGAATTAGGTTCAAGTGCAGTAATAACGCTGACATTTAGACTGACATTTTAATGACATTTCGCGGCGGCTCACAGCGCTGCAGATTAGTTCACAGGAGGTCCTTTAACATGCAGACGTGAAGGTGATGTGTCTGAAGTGTTCTGGCCCGACACGTTGTCACGTTGTGTCCCGTTTTCTGCAGCCTCCATCACCGACGTCAGAGGAAGGAGGAGCTGCCTGCGGCTCAAGGTCTTCGTCAGGCCCCAAAGTGAGCAGCACGTCTGTTGTGTCCATCACCAGATTTCCCCTTCAGTTTTGAGTTTTTCTGCTTTAATTCAGCTTGTGATCCGGCTGCTGTGACGATTGACGCGTCTAATCTCCAAATCTCCTTCTTTCCTCTGTTTCCTCCAGACAATTGTGTGAAAAACTCTGGCAGCTCGCAGGAAGGAGTCGAATTTGACGAAAACAGTCACAACTCGCTCGAACCCAGAGGTTAGTGAGAGTTTACTGAAAACGCTGACGAGATTTGGACGGTTAAACGAAAGTTGTTTTTTACAAGCTTGGCAGATTTCTGTAACAGAGAAATAAAGCCGACAAATAGGCTAAAGGTCTCTTGCGTTTGTTTCCAGTTTCTTCATTCTCACCTAAAGTCATATTGTGACAATAAAGTCGCTAAATTACATCTTTATTCTCCTCATGTTGAAAAATTGGTATAAAAACCCCCAAAACCCTCATATCTCAAGATTAATCTCTGAAATATTCTAGATAAAACTGAATTTTTCTTTCTTTTTCTGTGATCTTAAAATTTTTGGGGTCTTTTCTTTTTATCCCAACATTTTAAGAATAATCTAGAAAAAAAATCCTAGAGAAAAACAAGGACATTTTTTAAAAGTCCCAAAAGCACTAAACAAACTTTTCAGATTAATCCCAGAGATTTTCTTGAAAAACAAAACAAAGGCAAATATTTTCTGGAAAAAAAACTTTTTGCGACCCTAACCCCAACCCTAAAGAAAGGAGTAAATTTCCACTAAAAACTATCCAGAATGGCCCAAACAAACTGTCACATATAAGAATAAAGTTAATATAATGAGAATAAAGTCACAGTATTGTGAGGAAAAAGCAATAATGTCGCTTTTTTCTTTAATTTATGACGTTCTGCTCATGATTGTGACTTTGGAAATTTACTCCTTTCTTTCTGTCTACACTGTTTCTAAAACACTGTTGTCCCAGTGAAATATGTGAAAATATATTTTTCCAATTCTCTGTAAATGTCCAAATATCGTAAAACTGTCACCAGGAAGACAAAATGTCAGGATTTGTTGTATAATTGTGTTTTAGTTTAATTTAATGCTAACTTTGACGTTTAAAACTCAAAGTGCCTGTAAAAAACAAGCCAGGTTTTAATTAAAAATGTCTGTTTTTCCTCTTCAGATGGAATCAATCACGAGTCGCCGGAACCAGCCAGACAAGACGTGAACTCTGCCGATCGGCGACGCTTTTCCATCCTGCTGCTCAGCTCTGCCCTGATGCTCCTGGCAGCCATTTTGTCTTTATAGCGGCGAGACGCCTCACTCCGGGGAACGGACCGTCCTGATTGGACCACAGCTCGCCGCTCTACACCTCCCTCTTTAAGGAGCACTTTTTAAAACAAATTAAATTAAGAAAATCCCCCAAAACACTGAGGAGAATCTCTCAGTCTGAGAGGGGAAGAGACTTCAGCGAGGAAAGCCTTCGCTTGCTTTTGTCGACTTTGTGACTCTTGCAGGCGGAAGAGCCTGGCTGTAGCTCACAGTATGCAGATCCTTCACCGTTATTTTCAAAAGACACCGTCTACACAAACGCGACACTAATTAGCTCGAGTAGCAAAGAAGCACAGCAGGAGCCTGGAAAAAAAGTTTACAGACATTTTTTTTCTCCCTTTCCTTTTTGTTTTTTGGGAAGTTGGTGTCACTTGGTGTCACTTGGTGTCATTTGGTCGCGGGAGGAACAACGGAGGACGCTGCTGCTGCTGCTGCTGCTGCTGCTGCTGCTGCTGCTGTGATGACTTAACCTTCCTCTCAGGTTAGAAAGGACGCATCGCCGCCGACTGTGGAGCCGTTAGGAAAAATATTAAGGAAGCACTCGTCTCTTAGTGTCTGGACAGAATCAATTTAATGATCAATTAATGCATTTCTCTGTTTTTGTTTTTTATTTACCATGTATTTGTAGCAGCCGTCACGGGTGTACAGTGAAATATTTGAACGGAGAGCAGAAGCGAACAAGGAATTTTGCCAGGCAAAATGTTATTTTCCTATTTATTGTGAAGTCCTTGTGCTTTTTTTTCTGTTCTGGTTTAGTGTGTAAGTACAGTTAGAGCGGCAATAAAAGCGAATCCCCGTCAGGATGTTAGCTCACGTTACGTTTGGAGAAAAAAAGAAAAACAAGAGTTTGTGTCTGTTTTGGAACGATCACATGTGATGGAGGTAGCTGTTTTTAACAAACGTTTAGGAGTAGAAGAAGAGACTGGTGTGCATCAGGGTGTAGAAATGGAGTATTTGTGTTTTGAATTTGCCACTGCCGAATGTCACCAACGTAGTTTTGCTGTTACACTCTTGTTTTCGTGGATCACTATTTACACTGCTATTGTAAATACAGGCAAATTTAAAATTCAGGGATGTATCAATACAACAATTAGCTTTTTATGCCAATCTGAAGGGAAATTCCCCTTCATTAATACAAAAGTACGGAACTCAGCAAGGGCCAACAGTCAAAAAATGCCCCAAAAGAGATGAAGGTGAGGAAATAGTTTAGATTATTGGTAGTTTTCTCATTTTGCTTTCACAATTTAAGATTTTTAAATTAGACACCAAACACCCAACTTCCCAAAATGCGTAAAAAATGTCTAATAAATTAAACAACATTTCTGTAGAATGGTTATAATTTGGTTGAAGTAAAAAACTTTTCTAAATTGTTGGCGCCACTCTTAGTAAAAATAATGTGAGAAATTCACCTTAAAAAAGGAATACGGCACCACATCAGTGCCAAGAGAAAAAATTAAAGTCATAGTAAGCTCCTAATAAGCCGTTTAAATATTTTCACTTATGGATTTAATATTTTTGTTTTTCCCTTTACAAGCAACAAATATTGATGTTTCACAATTCAAACTTAAAAGTTTAATATCTTTAAAATAAGTCACATATACACTCCTTTCCACAATTATTAGCAACACTAGAAGAGAGTTGATAAAAAAATATGTTTTTTAAATTAACCTATTTTTGCACTAGCACAACTCCAGCTTGAACATTTCTGAAACCTCAAGCTTTTCATTTTTGGCACATTTTGAGTCTTGGAGAAAATAATCAATGTTAATGTTTTGTAATATAAATAATTGCTGGCGCAGGTTTTGGCATTCTTCATTTTCCTGACAATTTCAGGAAAATTCCCTTAGGCAAGTTAAAAATATGGAACTCAGTTAGTGCCAGATGTTGACGTGATTTTAAAGGTGGGGAAACTCAGGTCACTTGCTTTAATAAGCAGTTTGGACAGATTTACTTAATTTCACTCTTACTTTTTTTAATCTAAAAAATAAGTTCACTGCAGTTTAAAAGTTTCATAGAGTTTAGGTTTATATTTGAAATAAACCACACATCCAAAAACTGTCTGAAATAATTGGCACTTCTGGTAAAGATGTATTAAAATAAATTAATTGTATTTGTTGCAGCATAATAATCTGAAACTAAATAGAAATTTAAGAAAAATAGATTGGAGTGAAAATCTTTAGTTGGGTTTTTAAAAACTATTTGCAAAATGAATAAATAAATATAAATAACTGGATCCAAATCATTATTATTTCCCATAATTATTAAACTTGTTGAATAAATGAAATATTACCTGATTTCCAGAACCATAAATGTCTTTTCTGATGAATTTTCTATATTTAAGATAAGGCAAAACTAACTTACAAGAAACTTTTCAGCAAGATGAGAGATTAATATTGATGAAAAATTACTACTTATAAAACATTTTCCCGTGTTACTGGATCAAAATTACTAGGTAGGATTATGTGTTTTTGCAGTGTATGATAATATCTTAAAAATATACTTCCCACAAATATTGGAACCCCCAACAAAAATATTGTTTTATTTTTACATCTGGCACAACCTGGGCTCCATACTGGGTGAGATTTATCAGCGAAACAGCAAAAACAATTTACAGCGCAGGCAGCAGTCGCGCTTTGGGTTGCCGGCCGAGCGATTCAGTTTCTGTCTTTGATCCTGGGTTAAGTGTCGTCTGAACAGAAAATACACCATGTACCCCCGCGTAGCGGTTATTTCTGGAATGAAAAATTGACCCCCAAAGAAGAAGGAAAACACAGAGTGTGGTCGACGCAATCTGAGCCTCGACCAGACCAGAGAGGGGGAAACGAGGAACGCTTGTGGAGATGGTTTCAATGCTCCGTCATGTTCAGTTCTCCAGTTAAAATACAGAAAATAATCAGGATTTACACTGACAAGCAAATAATCCAAAATTTAATTGGGAAATTTTGATTAACACATTTTAAGGAAATAATTTTGGGTGATTTTTCTTTAACTTTGCGTTAAAAAATACCATTTAACATTTCAGGATTATGTTTTACAATTGTTAAAAGAGAAGCTTTAATTAAAAATAATAATTAAGATGTCAAAATAATTTTTACGAGAATGTAATTATGTACCATATAAATGTAAGATATGTAATAATTACAAGTCTTGTTAGAATTATAACATTTTTGAATGCTTGCAAACTTTTACAAAATAGCAAAATAAACTTTTATTCTAATTTTAAGTGAAAATTGTTTGTATAAAAGTTTTGAGAAATGTCTTTTGCTCAGTCTTTGTATTATTTAAAAATCAGAGAAATTCCCATTGAGGAGTCAAGCTAACATCTAAACTTAATTTTTTTTTACTTTTGTCAAAGTAAAAAATGGTTTTCATATTCAATTTTATAATCAATTATTCTTGCTATTTATATTTCCTCTTTAAAAAGTAGAACCACAAATTGCTCTAAAGTTAAATAAATATATGTAGGAGCTTTCATTCAGCTCTACTTAGCTAAAATGGTTACTTAAATTGAGTGTAGCTATAAACTAAACTGTCACCAGCTGTGAGCTTACTGTTAGCTTCAGTATAAATATGCTAGGCTAGTTGCTAAGTTGACTAGCTTTTAGCTAGAGTCCAAGTAGTTAACGACTTGACTTAAAAACTATTCATTTGAGACTCAGTGACTTACTTTGAGTAGTTAGCTATACGGATGTTAGCTTAACTTTGATTTGCTGTTAGCTTGATGTTGATTAGCTAAAGCAGCAATAAGCTCGGCATTAAGGAGCTATTAGCATCATTTTAATTAGCTCCATCAAGAGTATTACCGCAACTCTCAGTAGCTGTTAGCTAGATTTTGATGGCTATTAGCTGAACTCTGAGTAGCTGTTAGCTAGAGTTTGATGGCTATTAGCTCAACTCTGAGTAGCTTTGAGCCTAATTATGTCAGAACTTAAATACCCTAATTTGATTTGCTATTAGCTTGACTTTATGTAGCTGCTAGCAATATTTAAGCTAGCTCCTATCAAGCTATTAGCTCAACTCTAAGTAGCGTCTTGCTAGTCTTTGATGACTGTTAGCCCAACTCAGATTGTGTCTTAGCTTGACGTCCTCAGTGAGAATTTCTCATCGATTCTCTTTATCTGAAATAACTTTTACCAGCTTTCTAGTCCAAAGAAGAAAACCGTTCAACACAAACCCATTTTAGAAAAATTTACATTTAATTTACATCTTTAGTTTTTGACCTAATACTTTAAGTGTTGATCAAATTTTCCACACTACTGCTCCAAAACGTTTCATAAAACCCTCCCTTCTGTTTTTTTTAAACCAGTAAATCAAAACATTCATCCTGTTTGGTAAACTGAAACTGATGAGTAAAACCGCTGGAGTTCCAATTTAAAATGTAATTCAAGATCTCTTTACTAATACCCCTCAGCGTACGACATTTGGAGCTGATTTTGTTTGTTTTAACTGGGTAGAATTATCGCCTTCATCCGTCAGCGACCTTATTCTGGACTTTTTTCTCCTCCTCGCATAGTTGGCAAAGTTGTATTTCTGTTTGGACTGGATTTAAACCCCAGGGTGAAACCAGACCACTGTGGTATTCACTTGAAAAGACGAAATATAATCATTTAGTTCATAAACCGATGTCGTGATAGTTCAGAAACAAAAATGGAGTCAAGGAGGTGAAATAGTTGAGTGACTTAACATTATAAATAAAAGATGGCCTCCAGTGATAAATACCAGTCGGATCTTTTCCTGGATACTGTGTATCCCGACCGTCACTCTGTATCTTTCAGCGCCTCTTTTTAAGGACGACTCAGTCGACACGTTAACAATACGAACCAGTTTGATACCCAACCTGCCGACTTTCATTTTCTATGTCTTTTATATAAAACAAGAAAAAACAAACAGCCTCGTGTCTGTAGATATGTTTGTCAGACATGCAGTACGGTCGCATTACAATCATTAATGGCAGTCGGTGGATCCGTCCCACTGTTTCATCTGTTTTATGTTTCTGTTTCACATTCAGCTGGTTTTTATCAGGGCCGCTCCTGGAAAAATAAAGTTACAAGAGTTACGAGAATAGTCATAATGTTACCATAAAATTGTCTCTCTATTTTCGTAATTAGTTTGTAATCTTATTTTTCAAATTTTCTTTGCATGGCCCTAATATTCTGTCAGTTTTATAAGCCGATTAATGGGTTGCATTTCATCGGTTTCTGCAACATGGAAGGTGAAAAACGTTTTCTGATGGACTTCTTCTGTCGCCTCCTCCTTGTTTTTCATGACCTGTTCTTCTTTATCTGATAATCTGATGTGTTTTTGTCGGTGGGAACGTTTTTGCTACCACAGAAAGACGCGGCTGCGGCACAGAACCAAGCGCACACTTGTTTTGACGTTGTAGTGACTGAACCTTGTGCCTAAACGACCCGTCTAAACTCCTCTGATGTCTTTTTCCCCTGTTCTCACCAGACTTTTCTACAGAAGCGCCATGTCTTTGTAAATACACGTGTTGGAGCAGCTATGACTAACTGAAAGAAACAAAAAAAAGGTTTAATAAATACTTCTTTGTGGTTGTAATTGCGGCGTCTGATCTGTGTCATTAATCTCGCCGCTGAGTGCCAGTTTGCGAAGTGGAAAAGCGTCCAGAGTGTGATGTTTGTCTTGGTCGGGTCTGGGAGTTGAAGTGGCTGTACAGCTGCTCCCCTGTAATCTGGGGGTAATTTGCAGACTGGAATAACAAAAACAGAAGTGGCTTGAATTAATCTTGCGGGAATGTGCAGCGCTTCGCGGAGCTCAGCCAAGAAAGCGCCGTCTCACGCGGTTTTGTTGCTCCTCGCTCCGCTCTGCCTCCTCTGCTGTCGGCTTCCATTTTTCACCTGCGCTTTCAGAGTCAGGCCTTTCTCCTCCCCAGCTTTACCCGACTGCAGGTCCTTAAAGATGGGATTGTGTTTAACCAGGATCAACGCAGATATGATGACAAATCACCAGGAAGTGCCGTGGAGCGAGTGGGAACCATGTTGAACATCGCCACGTTTACACCTCAGCTCTTGATGCTAAATTGTGATTTTTTTGTTTTTGCTGAAATCCTTTTTTTCATACTTATTAAATGTGACCACAATTGGGCTTTTGTGTGAAGGGTTTGCAACCCCAAAATGACTTGCATGCATAGAGGAACACTGACGTCAAACATCAGCGCTCTGTTTACAAAAATAAAAATGGATGGAGGAGTTTATTGTTACAAAATCATAAATCGAAGGAAGTTAACAAAAGAGTTTCCTTCATTCACTGAACTCTAAAAAATGAACTCTGGACCGTCTACAAACCTCAATCTGGGTTTGGCTGAAGTGAACTCTGGTTCGGTTTGAACGCGTATATGAATGCCAAGCGGACCAGAGATCACTTGCAGACTACGGCGCAGGGAATTCTGGGTAAATACAACCAAAAGCAAATTGATGTTTTGTCTAAATCTGCCACAATTTGTCTGCAAATGTAAATGAAGAAGAGACAAACCGAGAAAAAGGACAAAGACCTGAAATCTCTCTGTCTAAGAAGCCAAACAACCAAATTCAGTTCCACCTGCAGACCTGCATGTGGACATGCATCTATTCCTGCGCTGTGGCTCCTGCAGATCTTCTGCTCCACGCTGTCAGGTGGAAACCTGTGGGAACGTCTCGTCCTGGACTTCCCACCGATAACCAGCCTGCTGTTATCTGCAGCGCTCAGGGTCTGAGAAAATAAACCTGTCCACCTCATTTCCCTCCAAACGCCTGCATCTCCTCGCCACAATCAGCCGGTGGGAAGCAGATCTTCTTCTGCTGCCGATGGAAAGATCGACCCGAGACTCAAGCAGCTGCTGATGATCCAGCAGGAAGTGCTGCAGGTCTGGATGTGAGATATTCTGCATGTTTGTTTGTTCTGGGATCTCAGCTGCGATGCGTTCATGTAGCTGAACAGATGATTTCTGGTCAACAGGCTTCGGTTTCAGAGGAAAACGTTTCAGCAGGAGGCTGATTACAGTTAAACAGGTTCATTTAATGTCACATACACAGTCGCCATGTTTCTAACAATCATTTATTACGTTTTTTTACCCACAATTCAGAATAATTATAAGGTTTTCGTAAAAAATGAACAGCAATAATTTATATTATTTAACTTATTATAAGATCAAAAACAACAAGAGTTTATATTTTCACCATATTCATTTATAAATGTCACAGTTTCAAACTAAATATTTAGTTTAGAAACTAAATATTTAGTTAAGTATCAAATGTTCAACATGCTAACAACTAAATATTTAGTTTGGAGCTGAATATTCAGCTTGTTAACTAAATATTTGGCAGATTAAACATTTAGTTAACAAACTAAACATTGTGTCAAAACAGATATTTTATTTGGAAACAAAATCTTAATATTTAACTAAATATTTAGTTAGAAAATGAAGCACTTTGTCACCAAACTTAATATTTAGTTATTAAACTAAATATTTTCCGAGTCCAGTCGGACTGGATGGATCATCATTTTGCTGTAAACCTAACATGCTCTCAATTGGATTTGGGTGTGGACTTTGACTAGGCCATCCAGAGACATACTGGGCGCCAACAACTATTCTTGAAAATACTCAAACTCTCCTCATTTCCTGGTGAAAGTAACAAAAATAATATTTTTGCTTAAGATTTCAGTCTAAAAATATTGCAAACTTTTATTTTTTTATCACAATATCTCAAAACTTGCTAAAGTTGCTAAAGATCCAAGTTGAGTTTAAAAAATCTAAGATTTTTGCAAAGTGGGATAAATCCAGTTTGGACAGCAGGATGTGATGTAATGATGAAAATGTTTCTTCTTTTAAAGCAGAATTGTTGAATTTTTCTCATTTTGGGAAAACGACAAACAGAAGCGAAACTTTAATGTTTTTCTCTAATGCAGGATTAATCTCCTTGATACAGGTTTAAGATGTGGGCTTAAATAAATCCAGATTGGAGGGAACTCTAAGCTGAGTGGTTCCCAGTTTGGTCCTGGTCCGTTTTCCTCTGGTTCTGGTCTTCAGAGCGTCTGATGGGGAGAAACGCCGCTCCACCTCATCCCCTCCAAACGCTCCACGCTGAGCCGCCGACCTTCGGAAACCCAGACAAACTCATTCAGAAATCCTCCTGGCGGCTGTCCCTGAACTCCCAGTATAACCATTATAGAGACTACACAATGGCGGCGGCCATTTCTGCCCGCTGCCGTAATGAAGCGCCGCTCCGTTTTATGTAGGCCATCTGTACGTCTCCTCTGAGCTAAAAATACGGAGCAAGTTCTGGCTGTGAGCTGAAGGAGCAGAGCGAGGAGACAACTGCACAGAAACAGGGCGGGGAGGGGCGACAAAATGAGCTGGAAAACACCAGCTGACTGGTTCATTGTATTCACCTGCTTACAGGTTACATACATCCAGCTGTTCATCTGAAAACTGAAACCAACTCAGGAGGAGATTTCACACTGTAATCAAACAGTGAAGCACGGTGTTGGCTCAGTGATGCTGTGGGACTGGAAACCTGCTGCATGTGGAGGGCAAGACGGCGTCAAACTGGAGGAAAAAAAAGTCTGTTGGTGAGGAAGAGGATCCAACAGGACGATGACTGACATGAACTTTGTGGCGTTTTGTGTTTGATCAGGAGAAAACTGATAAAGTCTCATTAAAGCGCAGCGACAGCTGCAGCTGCAGCCTCTTCATCGTGTGTTTCTAACCCAGTCAGGATGAAATCTGCAGCCTCAGCATGAAACGCAGCGTTTGGTGAGAGATAAAACTGATGAAAATGGAGGACGTGCTGTAATAGCAGCAGCTGCAGCCGGTTACAGTAACTGTTACACAACAACAAGCCGAGGCTCCTGGGGCAGCAGAGGCAGGTGTCGGCTCCGCCTGGGGGCTCGGGGGCCACCTGGGGCCCCGGGCCCACCTGGCCAACACAAACAAACACTCCCAACGATGTGGCGGCGCGGCGTCCCAGGAGCCGCCTCACCGACAGGGCAACTTCACACACACACACACACACACACACACACACACCGAGACAAAAGCGGCACAAATAACTGGAGCAGCATGTCCAACATGGCCGACTTCACTGCAGAAACTCGTCTGCATCACAGACTCTCCTCTAACCGACGCTTCGTTTCCGCAGATCGACGAGACGCTGCGTCGTCTCTCAGCGATTCTTCACTTGAATTTGAAGAGTCGAATTTGATCGAGACGGCAGAATTTACAGAAGAGGAAGAAGTTTTATTTATATTTTTCAGCAGCAATGCAGTTTAAAGTGCTTCGACTTGTTATGTTCATCTAAATAAGACAAAAAAGAGTAAATTCCTGCCAAAAATCTCTGACATTTTGAGATTCACTTCAGAAATTTACAAGAAAAAAACAAAAGTCAACAAAATCTGAAATATTTCGGTTAATTTCATAAATTGTATGGACAAAAGACATGATCACATATGAAGCTTTCCTACATAAAAAGTTACGTTCACATGGATATTTTTGCAGCAGTTCCCTTTTCGTGATCTTTTTTGTTTTATTCCTGTTCCAGTGTGAAACTAAACTAATGTTTACTCTTCCTGGCTGCTCTTTGTGTTTTCTGAAGCGTTTTCTCTGGTTCTGATGATCTGCAGAAGGAAAAAATAAGCAAACTTGTGCTAATATTGCTGCTACGAAACTCTGCAGGCGGCATATAGAATTACATCTTCTGCTGATGTGAAATGGAAACTGGCTCTGTGGTTTCATGGAGATTTGAACCTTTTGTAAATGCCGTTCAGTTACATGTTGTTTAAATATCCAGTGGCTACTGGCGGGGTCTGCGAATGTCACTGAAGAACGGGACGAGAAGTGGAAAATCTCAGCACAATGCGTCACTGTGCTGAGATTTTCAAATAATATTTAAGTTGACAACCAAGACAGGAAAAAGGAAAAATGCTTCTATGTTCAGTCTCGTCTTTAGAAATCAATGGGCCGCAATTAGGAGGCCCAACTAATGCAAATTTAATGGAAAGGGACAAACACCAATTAACTGACTGGCAGCATGTTTTTACAAGCTCCACTATTAAACAGAGTTTGCTCTTTGTGTTGGATTGGATTTTATTTCATTTATTTTGCTGTGATAAAGTGCTTTCTTTTCTGCCAGTAAATTTCCGCCTGAACAATCTGTTTTTAATTGGCTTGACTTGATATAAAACAACATTCTGAGAAACAGAATTTTGGATTTTCGTCAGTTTGAAACAAGAATAATCAAATTAAGAGACATGAAATAATTTAAATTCATCCCTGTTTGTTATCAAAGCTTATATGACTTACTGAAATAAATCAACTGCTATATGGTAAAGACTTGGTTTAAGTAGAAGGCATTGCTGTGGAGAAAAATAACAAAATGAAAGTAAAATTATTGGCATATGTCAAAATGTAAAAATCCATTTTATTTTTCACTTGCATTATAAATTTAATCAAATTTAATCCTGTTGAGGGCGATATACTTTGTTGCGCTTTAGCTTCTGCCAAATACTGTGTAGGTGAAGCAGCTTCAGATTTAGCGATGCTAGCACCTTTTACCTTTTATCAG